TTATTTCATCGCTCCTTTCAAGCACATAAGTGTATGAGTTCACTTACAGATTTCAGAATTAACGCCTATGTTCTTATGTGCTAGCAATTGTTAAGATATAAAAAAAGCAAAATATAAACCTGCTTTGGATTTTTTCGGCATTTTCATTTCCACATCAAGCGTGAACTGACAATTATTTACTGGTCGCCTCAGAATCTGCAAACAAACAAACCAACTTTCATGCATACAGAATATTTGCACTAATGTAAAATAATCGATGAACAGAAGTGGGACGAAATTTCATACCAATTTGATGCTAGAAGTAGCTCCATCAAGTAACGACCTTACAAGATTCTGGTCATTCTCCGTTACTGGAATGTCATTGATTGAGATGATTTCATCGTACTTTCTGTAAAATTAAAAGCACATCAAATGTTGTTTTCTATGATTATTTCATTAACATTAATAAAATCTTTTTAAAGGTTCGCGGTTTAATGTCGAAAAGATTTTTTCACATCAAGAAGTTGTTGTAACGCAGGCCTGTAGGCTGCCTTACAAAAAATAATCTCAAATTAAAACAATAATCTCCGAGCGACTATGTCATGTTCTGTTTATTAAATATACACTAAAAGCACATTCACAACGCTCGTTTATGTGGATATCTATTGTAACGTGTTATTTGTGAAGAACTAAGTTCGTGAGAGCAAACTAAATAGTGAGAGAGATTTCATTCAAGAATTATATAAAAAATGTTTCTTTTTCTCTGGGTTTGAAACTTGTCATATTTTGGACGGTCGAAACTCAAACGCGTTTTCTTCAATTTTGTCAAAATTCCCAAAAATACTTTTCTGGGATATACCAGAATATACCCTTCTCCTTTTTGGTTATCACCCCATTCCTCCCTGGATGAATGATGTTTACTATTATTATGCCGTGAATTGAAGTGCTTGAGCCGTCAGGTCACAAAATCTGCTGCTAATTCAGGATGCCATACCTCACATTCTTGGCTGCGCCCAATGCCTTGTCGATATCCATTATTATAGTAAACGTCCTAGCGTGACTTGTGACACGCCCAATCTTAATGGTGTCTAATGGATCTTCCTTTATGAATACAGTAATACATTTTATAAGTTTCCGGCTTACTCATTATTTCTCAAGCAGCAATAATGCAGTGATCTGAATGTAATACAATGATCTGGAAATTTCTAAAATAGCAATATAGGATTGGTTTTCAGCTTGTTGCACAAATAGGTTGTCTGTTCTTTTCGTAAAAACTGCATAAATTGCACCAACGTGCAGTCATGGAAACAATAAAAGCATGAGAGAGGAAGACCTGGGCATCTTCAGAAGGCTTTGAGATTATTGGAGATATTACTTCGAGCGATAATTAATTCTGTACATTCAAAATATAGATTTAAAAAAAATGCATGCGCATGGCTTATACTCTATAAAAAGCTTTTTAAACAAGCCCTTTCAAAGTTTAAAGTGTACCTAAATCYATTTTTATCCTAAAATCATTTTTATCCAAAGGGAAAAATGGTGCTAAAAAGATTTAAATTTGTATGTTCTGATATAAAACCCTTTTA